GAATAAGAATTAAATAATTCATTCATAATACTGACATACCACCATGTCTCAAATCTATGCAGAGATATGCAGTTTCATGGTCTTAAAAAAATAGTAGCAGACCAGCCCTGTTCTGTCATTTGTTGTCATGCTTATTAGATTGTTGAAATGATTCTTCCAGCAGTTGCTGAAGCCCTACCTAAAAGCCTAAGGCATATGGGGACGGAGGCACTTGCACCTGCCCGTCAGAGCCAATTTCCACCTTCCTTCATGCTCCGGTGAGAAAATCCTCCAACCAGCCACACCCTTCCTGGCTGCACTAATCCATTCATATGAAGTTTGAGGTGGAGGAATAGTTTCCCTGAGAAGAAATCCATGGCACAGTCAGTTATTCAGTTCAACATGTGTCCTGTGTCTGAGCCCTGAAAGCATATGTGTGTGTGTATGTGTTTCTAACGTACAGTATGTGTCAGGGACTGACCAGATGAGGAGGAGGGGTAGAGACTGCCACCCCGGGAGATGAAGATAGCATGGACCCAGGTGTGTGGTGGTGGCAAACAGGGCACACCGCAGAAGAGGAAAAGAGCTGGGAAATAATGGAGGCTGAGGAGCAGGAACAAGCTCGCAGATGCCCTAGTCCTGGACAGAGACAGGAGTCAGAAGTGGTAGAAACAGGACAGCAGACAATGGACACCACCACCTCCTGCTCCGAGAACCAGGCTCCCCCTTCGTGTCTTTCCTCGCCGGCCATCATAGGCAGCAGGAGGGCTCTGGAAGCGAGGAAGCAGCTGCTCGGGGAGGCGGCGCGGGCACTCGGAGCAACGGCTGAAGATTGAGGGAGAAAATTCCATGGGCCCCGTGTATTTCTGCTGATTTAAATAAAAGAACTGAAAGCAGCTCTCCGCGCCTGTGATTTCACTAGGCAGGTAGCCCAGTGCGCTGTTGACGGCACTCTCGTGACAGTATGTGTAAATAAAAATGGTTTGTTTTAATCTTCAGCATAGGCACCAACACTAAGGGGCCCAAATCCCTTTGCCCCCCCAAAACACTGACCGTGCCAAGCCACCCCAGCTTTCTTTGCCACTGCCACATGACAGCGCGAGTAAGACACCCAATTGCCCACCTGCCTCCCTGTCTCCCAGGTTGTCCCCTCTCCTCTCCTCCCCTCTGGATCCAGCCTGGATCCAGTGCCCCCTGAGCCCCCTGCCAGGGAGTGAATTTGGCCACAGCCTGTTGGCGTCTGGGTGGAGAGAGGAGGGGATAGTGCATGGGCAAGGGAAGAAGGCAGGGCAGCCTCTGCTGGTCCTTACCCTGGGCTGTGCCTACTCGGCTCCAGCTTCCATCCATCCATTTGTCCTTCTGGCAACCTTCTGGCAAGGGGAAAGGTGCCCCCCAAAATGTTTTATTCAAGTTGGCACCACTGATCATCAGTGTCCATACCTGTATCAGACAGCAACATGGCAGAGCATGAAGTATTTCATATATATGAACTACACACCTGGGGAGGTTGGAAGCTTTGGAGAAGTGAACCCTTTATTTCATGCAGAAGGGAAAAAACAACCCTCTGAAACACTGAGCAGGAAATGAAGTGGCTTTCAGATTAGGATGCTTACACAGTGCACAAGCCAGGCAGAGTCAGTTTTAAAGGAAAGAAGACTGTAGGGCTGATACTGATGCACAAGGGCAAGCACACTTAGTAGATATGCAGCACATGCCAGCCATTAGGACCAATGGTCGGGGATGGAGGCCACCATGTTGGGTACTTCAAGCAGAGGGTGCTGTGGTATTTGTGTGTGTGTGTGTGTGTGTGTGTGTGTGTGTTGGTATGGGATGACATAACAGAGGGAGTTCCCTGTCACCATGCATGGATTGGTTCAGTCCATGCATTGCTAATGTGGGGACAAAATGAGCTTTCTACTCTGTGATTGGCATGTGTTGGCAATGTTGCCATAGATGCAGGGAGAGGACTTGAAGTGTGCCTGCTATGTCCCTTGTAGTCTGTATTGCTGTCATTTTCTTCTTGGAAGCACATGGGATCTTGACTAAGGCTGCAATTTTACACTCACTTACCTTGGAGTAAGCCCCACTGAACTTAATGGAACTCCTTTTACAAGGGTCGCTCATTAAAGATTTCCCCTGACCTACTTCCAGTTATCGTAGGAGGATGAAACTGCACATGTATAATGATACAGCTCTCCATAGGTAACATGGTAATTTGTAGCTCTGAACTCCTAACTGTTTCTCCGTTAATCGTGCTAACGTGGAGTAACATCTGATAATGGAACCAATTGAAGCAGAGCGGTGATCAAGTTCCTGTACATGAAAGGGCGCACACCACGGGAGACGTGCGATGAGATGAAAGGAGCTTATGGGGAGGATGCCCCATTGTATGACGTAGTCAAGCACTGGCACCATTAGTTCACGTGTGGTCGGACTTCAGTGGAACAGCTCCCATTCCTGGGCGACCACAGTTCGTCATTGATGAAGACACCATCCAGCAAGTGGAGGCTGCCATTTTGGAGGATCGCCACATAACCGTTCACCAATTAGCTGCAGGTGTCAAGATTAGAGTGGGCGCTGTAGAAAAAATCATCCATAATCACTTGCACATGGGAAAGTTGCCCACACGGTGGGTTCCCCAGCTGCTGCTGCCTTTCCAGAAGCAGGAACGAGTCACATGCTCATGGGTTCTTTTGGCCATGTGTCACGAAAACCATGATGACTTCTTCACCAGACTCATTACTCAGGAGGAAACATGGGCCCATCATTATGATCCAGAGACTAAATCCAGTCCAAACAATGGAAGCACTCTTCCTCACCACGTGTCCAACCATCAGCGGGCAAGGTCATGTTCATGGTCTTTTGGGACCAATGTGGAGTAGTAAAAATGGATTTCCTGGCAAAGGGTACCACAATTACCAGGACATACTACGCTTCACTGCTGCAGAAATTGCGGAAGGCCATCAAAATCGAGAGGCGTGGTATACTGACCAAAGGTGTCCACCTCCTGCAGGATAATGCCCTGGTTCACAACTCGCATGTTGCTCAGACGGAAGCATGTCCTGTGGCTATGAAATTCTCCCGACCTCGCATCATGTGACTTCCACCTCTTTCCAACCATGAAGTTATTTTTGAAGGGCAACCTTTTTTTGATGAAATGCTGATTTCTGAGGTCAAGTCGTGGCTTCGGACGCAACCTGCCGACTTCTGCAGACGAGGTCTCCACAGCTGCATAAAGCGATGGGAGAAGTGTGTGACTCTTGCTGGTAGCTATGTAGAGATGGACTAATAATTGTGCCAAGTTTCGTTTATTTCAGTACACGGGAAGTACGTCAGGGGAAATCTTTAATGAACACCCCTCGTATTCTGAGTTTGTGTGCATCATATTACAGTACATGCATAATATTGACATTACATAAGCATAAGTGGCCACTGGGGTATCTGGGATCAAAGGACTGCTCTGCCTTAACATGATGATTTTTTTAAAGTGAATGTGAAATAGTTCTGCAGTGCTTTTAAGTGATGCCTTCTCGCTTCTCCACTCCATGGCTTCCCCTCTGTGCTGGTCTCTTGATTTCTGCCCACTGTTGGCAGCCTTAGAAACCTCAAAATATGTCTGCTCCATGCTGTGGTCACCACAAGAGGAACTTGCACTTGTCAGAGCCCATTTCCACATTGACTGTCACTGCCTCCGCGCCATGAGAGGGTGGCCTTAATCCGGGCCATGGGTCAGCCCTGGAACCCTTTCTCAATGCCAGATGCGCAGTGCAATGTGCTGAAAGAGAGAAGACTCCTGACCTCGCAATGACAGGCTCAGGCTGGCCGAGGGGAGTTTGCACTCTCCTCCCCCCCAGACTCAGACCAAGGACAGGAGGGGTCAGCGGTGAATGGAGAATGGAAGGCAGAAGGTTTTGTAGACTCTGGGGTGGAATAAGGTAGATCAGAGCAGGGTCACTGCATGGTAGGCAATCCCCCCCACCCCAAGAGACTGTTGGTCTCTAGCAGCGAAAACAGCTAAGGGTGTCATGGCTCCTTAAATACTAACAAACCTATTATTTCTGCATCATTTTTAAAAATAATCCTAACAGGCAGGCAGGCAGGCAGCTAAGCTTTCTCGAAGGCATGTGCAGAGTGTTTCCATGAGATGAGTTATTCCAGGCAACTTCTTCTCTTTAGCACTGAGATGATGCTCTGTTTCACTTTTCTCTATGGGGGCGGCGGTGAGGCTGAACATCGGTTGACTTTAATGGGGGATGCGTCCTATTTCCCTCGGTCAGGTGAAAGATGCTTCGGGCTGTGTTGACAGAGACAAAGAGAGACAGAAGGATTGATGATGATGATGATGATGATGAACTGAGCCAGTTGGAGGCAGTCCGGGTCCAGCCCGCGTTCCTCTCCCTCCGAGTCCCGACCCCGCACCCCACCCTCGGGTCTTCGGTGCTCCCCCGAGCTCAGGGATTGCGCATGCTCGCCCGTGGACGGGCGGAACCGCACCGCGAACTCCGAAGCAGCGCGACGTGCAGGGAGGGGGCGAGGCGGCCGCGGCAACCCCGACCACCGGCCGGCCGAGGAGGAGGCGCCGTCCGGGAGGAGAGCGCGGGCAGGGGAGAGCCTCGTGGGGCCGGGAGAGGGGAAGGCAGCTCGCCTCGCAGCCCCGGAGCAGCCCCGGCGCCCTCGGCCTCGCTCGCTCGCTCGCTCGCCCCCAGCCCAGCCCTCCCGCTCGGCCGTCGGGGCGAAGAGCCTCGGGGCCGGCGAGGGCGGGCCAGGGGAGGCTCCGCGAGGGCGTCGGCATGCGAGCGACGGAGGAGGAGCGCCGGGCCCCTGCCCGGGACGCGGGCAGCGGGCAGCAGCCGCAGGCGCGCCGGCGGGACGGGGCGCGGGCGGGCGGGCGGCGCGCTCGACGGCGCTGAGGGACGGGCCGGCCCGGGGGAACCGATGGGGCCGAGCGGAGCGCGCTGGAAGAGCCAAGCGGCGCCCTCGGCCGGAGGAGGAGCGGGAGGCGAGCCGCGGCGCCGGTGGCCATGCTGCAGGCACCCTGGAGCAGGAACGCCACGCTGCGCGGGCAAGCGGGCGCCCCCCCGACGCCGCGCTCGCACGGGCTGCTTCCCGGCGCCACGGAGCCCGCCGCGGCCGGAGCTCCTCCCGGCGGCCCCGGCGGCCCAGGTGGCGGCGGCGGCGCGCCCATGGTGGCGGCGGGCAGCCTGCTGTCGCTGCTGGTGGTGTGGACCCTCCTGGGGAACGTGCTGGTGTGCGCCGCCATCGTGGGCTCGCGGCACCTGCGCGCCAAGGTCACGCACATCTTCATCGTCTCCTTAGCCGTCTCGGATCTGCTGGTGGCGCTGCTGGTCATGCCCTGGAAGGCGGCGGCCGAGGTGGCGGGCTACTGGCCCTTCGGCGCCTTCTGCAGCGTCTGGGTGGCCTTCGACATCATGTGCTCGACGGCCTCCATCCTCAACCTGTGCGTCATCAGCGTCGACAGGTACTGGGCCATCTCCAGCCCCTTCAGGTACGAGAGGAAGATGACCCCCCGCGTGGCTCTGGCCATGGTGGGCCTGGCCTGGGCGCTCTCCATCCTCATCTCCTTCCTCCCCGTCCAGCTCAACTGGCACAAAGGCCCCGACCCGCGCGCCCCCGGGACCGCCAGCCCCGAGCCGGGGAGCTGGGGCAGCAGCAACAGCACGGCGGCGGCGGCGGCGCCGTCGGAGCAGTGCGACTCCAGCCTGAACCGGACCTACGCCATCTCCTCCTCGCTGATCAGCTTCTACATTCCCGTGGCCATCATGATCGTCACCTACACGCGGATCTACCGGATTGCCCAGGTGCAGATCCGTCGGATCTCGTCGCTGGAGAGGGCGGCCGAGCACGCCGAGAGCTGCCGCAGCGGCGGCGGCGGGGGGCGCCTGGACTGCGCGCACCCTCTGCACCAGCCGCCGCCGCCGCCGCAGCAGCCCCACCACTCGGGCCTCAAGTCGTCGCTGCGCAAGGAGACCAAGGTCCTCAAGACGCTCTCGGTCATCATGGGGGTCTTCGTGTGCTGCTGGCTGCCCTTCTTCGTCCTCAACTGCATGGTGCCCTTCTGCGACCGCCCCCCCGGCGACCCCGCCGCCGGCCTGCCCTGCGTCAGCGACACCACCTTCGACGTCTTCGTCTGGTTCGGCTGGGCCAACTCCTCCCTCAACCCCATCATCTACGCCTTCAACGCCGACTTCAGGAAGGTCTTCTCGCGCCTGCTGGGCTGCAGCCGGCCCTGCTCGGGCTCCCCGGGGGAGACGGCCAACCTCAGCCACGAGCTCATCTCCTGCAACCAAGACACTTTCTTCTTCCGCCGGGAAGGCGCCGCCACCGACGCGGACAGGATCCCCCACCTGGGGGGCGGCGGCGGCGGCTGGGGAGGCCCTTTCGACGGCGCGTCCCAGATCTCTCCCGACCCAGAGGGCGCCACCGAGTCGGGCGACTGCGAGGGGGACATTTCGCTGGGCAGGATCTCCCCCCTCACCCCCACGTGTCTACTTTAGACTTCAGCCCACTTGGGAAGAGCCTTTAAAAAAGGAATCCTTTGGGCTTGGGGCAGACCCTAGTTGCGGCTGTCGATTATTCCTATTGCCATTATTTAATGCTAACCTGCAGGAAGTTCATAAACCAGCAGTGAACTGGGAACAGAGAGGAGGGGGGGCATTCCAGTCCAGTGGACCGTGGGGTGAAAGGCTGGGCTTACAAGGCCTGTCCAGAAGTGCCAAGGGAAACTGACACGAGCGCATTAAAAGGACAACTGTCCTCTCAGAAGACTGCTGTTTGGCCACAGTTTGGATTTTACTCTGACCAAAGTCGGAAGGTGTCTCAAGCTACTGTTTTTCTGTTGTGTTTCTGTTCCTGCAACTCACACTTTGGTGGTTTTCTGTTTTGGGAAATGGATTTTCTTGCTCGTTCCTGAGAACCAAAAACATCTAAATTATATCGGCAACCAGATTTGAAACTTGCAGAGTTGAATCATTGATAGTTAATTGTCCAGCTGCTACACCTTAGATTGAACCAGGGAGGGAAAAGAGTTTGACACAATACTGGTCCTGAGAAAGTCCCACTGAAATGAAGGGGGTATTGCGCTCAGGAGTGTTCTGGAGCAGCCTCCATTCATTTCAGTGGAGGTGGTGCACTTCATTAAGGGGGCAATCCTGCTTTCCTGGGAAAGAGGCCCATCAAATTCAATGGGGCTTACTTCTGAGCTTAGTATTTATTAGGACAATCTTATGCACACTTACCTGGGAATAATTCCTGTTGAATGTGACAGGACTTACAAGTAAGTCTGCAAGGAACACATCACCTCCCTTTGTGCCCAGGAACGTTCTCCTCTAAGTGAACTAGCACTCATGTCCAGGAATAAAGCATACAACCTTTTTTTATATAAAATAAATGGTCAGTTGTCCATTAAGGAAATAAGAATACTACTGAGGCAAATCTGACCTACTCATTTTAGTATTCATACGTCAAGGTTCAATATTTATAATAAGAGTAACTTTCAGATGTTATAGCAATTGCTCAGTCATTTTTAGATTTGTAGTGTATATTACTGCTGCATTAATATTTCTCAGAACTATCTAAAGACATGAAAGTCTATAGCCTTTTTGTTTTTTAACATTTTGGCATTTTCATTTTACATTTAGCCCTTAGGAGAGCTCTTAGATGAACTTCTGGCTTTAGGAGGGGCTTATATTCATGTTTTGAGAAACATTATTTCAGAGGGTCTGGTTTTTTAAATGTATTCTATTGATGTAAATGTTGGACACATATCAGCCAATATAAAGCACTTCTAAGCCCCACTGAGAGATTTAGGCAGCCGCCCCAAACTCCCTTGAAAGTTGTTGTAAGTAAGTATGTATAGGGGTTGTGCTGTTGGGCATGTATTTAATTTTCTTATTAAGATATATGGGAATTAGCAGTTATTACCTTTAGCTGTGTCAGACCCATTATAAACAATTCCAGCATTATGTGGAATATAATTGGTCTCAAGACCATGAATTAAGGAACAGTTTTTTCTGTACCTCTGTGGGAGTGATTCCTATTACCCACATTCATCGTCAAGTTTCATGGTGCTGTTTTGTGTATATGAATCGTGCTTTATTGTAAGCCACTCTGGAATTGTTTCTAATGGAGAATGTGATCAAAATATTTAAAACAAGTGAGTGAATGATTAAATAAATAAACATTCACACGACTGAGCTGCAATCAGATACATGTTTACTCTGAAGTAAGTTTCACTGTAGGACCACAGTTAAAGGTACTCAGAAGTAACTCTAACTGAAATGAAGAGTTGCGTCCTTCTGAGTGAGATGGTTGTTGGCCCATAAGTGGTATACCAAAGTAGCATGAATGCTGTATATTTTTTAAAAAATAAAATAAAAGCACAATGCCCACTGTTCATTTGCCACTGGAAGTTGTGCTGTGTGTTAATGTGTGTTAAGACTGATTATAAATAAGATTAACCCAACAGTGTTCAAATAGGTAGCAATGACAAACCATATTCTGGAGAATATTTAAAGGTCACAAACCTTTTGTTGTCTGCAGCACAATATTTATAGTTTAGTACCAGATACTAGCAATTTATTTTGAGATAATTAAGTGGGGGAACCAAATGCTGTTGCAGAAATAATAGTCTTGCCTTAAAGCGGCACAAAAATCTTAAGTCATTAATACTGCAGTTGTATATCTGCTTATATGGTAATCAGCTGGACTGAATTCATGGTGACAGTGCAATCCACACTTGTCTACTCAGAAGTAAGTCCTATTGATTTCAATGGAACTTACTCTCAGGTAAAGGTGACTAGGATCAAGGCCTTAAAGTGTGTAACTATTTGTGCAGTATTTTCAGTTTTACTGTCTTTTAAATTTTCATTCCTTACGTGATTCAGAAAACAGTCTTTTTTCCTCTCTTTTTTTTTAAAAAAAACTGCTCTAAGTAGTTGACGTGCAGGATATATGCTTTCTGCCATAGAAGGAAAATGGAAGATATAAAGCTGCATAGAACTCTCTGTGAGGCAGAATGGCAGATATGTAGCAAGGGATATTTTGGAACCCACATGTATCATATTTTATAAGTCAATATTAAGTGTGCCGCTATCTTGAAGGAAATAGGGGCTGTGAGGATCCTGCTCCCTTGAGAAGGTTCAGGGCCTTTTTAGACCAATATGAGGAACATTCTTTGAGCATCCCACCTGTAGCCATCTTTGAACTTGAGTTACCTCAGTCTAAGCTTTTAGCTACTAGGGATGCGGGTGGCGCTGTGGTCTAAACCACTGAGCCTAGGGCTTGCCGATCAAGGTCTGCGGTTCAAATCCCCGCGATGGGGGCTCCCTCGGCCAGTAAACTGAGATGAGCGAGTGAACTTAACTGTCAGGGGTCCTTTACCTTTAAGCTTTTAGCTAACAAGGTATTATTGTTGGGTATAATGCAGAGTGGGAAACTCATCAAAAGACAATGGGGCCTCAGCTTGCCACCCCCCTCTGTAGGGAGATGGAGCACAAAGAGGTGTCCTGGGCCAAACAAGTGAATGTGGGGCTGTACTTTTTTTAAAAAAGGCAGCCACCCCTCTTATGGGCTGGAGGTTCTGCTTGAACAGAGCAGGGAGAGGAGCAATAGCAATGTACTCATGGGGCTCAGAATGGGCATTGTTAGGAACCATCTCTATGCTTCCTGGGGCAATGACAGCAGTGGGCTGATCCCTCCCCTTTGGCACATTTGGCACATCCCTGGCTCCCTACATGGCTGGCTTCTCTTGGTCCTGCTAGGAGAGATGGCTTTGTGGGTTGGGAGGGGCCTGGGGGGGGTTTTGGGGCTCAGTGGCTTGTGCTCCACTCCTCTCCTTCACAGCATTCAAGGTCCCCATTCTAGCAGCAGAGGGCTTGTGTGACAGGCAGACATTCTCCCCTTCCTCCTCTTTCTCTTGCAATGGCCAAGGGTGGGCTGGCTAGGGGCTGCCTGTTCAGTCTTGATATCCACCCATCCTGGTTCTGGTGGGATGCAAAGAGGTGACATGGTTGGTGGAATAGCACCCTGGGCAGGTCCCTGCAGAGGGTTATAACAAGGTATAACAGGGCTGGGCTAGGGCTGTAGGAAGAGTCTTGCTGGCCAATGAAGTGCGGCATGTTTCCCAGTGGCCAAGCAGTTGCCTACAGGGCACCAGCAAATGCAAACCAAACACATGCCTTTCTTGCCACAGATATTCAGAGGTCTGCTGGCTCTGACTGTGGAGGGAGCACATAGCCATTGTAGCTAGAAGCTTTGCTCTCCATCTTTTCTGCTGGAGTCACTGCAGAATCGTGGCTCACTGTGTAACTTGGGGAACATATAGACTGTAGCATTGCTGAAGCTATGCAGGTGTTGTCTAAGTCAGAAGTTCAGATAGTAGCTAATAAACATGCCCTATTCACCATCATATGCTTTTAATACCCCAATTATCTTACCATTGACCACTGACTAAGTCCCACTCCCAATAACTCGTTGAAAATTTCCATTTACCTTCTCCATGCTGTGTTCCCTTTTATAGTAGTTCCCCTCCCACTGGCTAAAAAGCCAAGAAGGGAAGGGAACTTTCAGTTAAAGGTATGTTAAAAACTAACTATCCTACAATGTGTTCCCAAGTGTTAAAAACTTGTTTCAGCAGCTGCATTACATGAAATGGCACGAAGCACGTGCCTTGATATGACGTGCCCACTCTTTGTGGAAGGAGTTGAATCCTATAGATTGATAAATCCGGTCTCTCTTAGAACAGCCAAAACATCCAGCCAAGGCAAGACTTGAGGCAAGGAGAGAACCTTGCTTGGATAGGAGCAGCTGCTCAAGGGTGGGGCAGTCCCTAATGAACAGTGACATTCTTAAATTGAGAAAATAATGATGCTGAGGGCCTTTGAGTGGATTTGACATATTTCCATGGGAGAGTTACCTCCCATATGTCCTTCTCGACATGTGCATGCTGGCAAGTGGTGATGCACATGTACGCCCAAGGGACACATGTTGGGATTGTTAACTGAGAGCCATGGCCTGCCACGGAAAAACTGGGTCTTCTGAGAGAAGGCCTTAGCAACGAGACAGAGATGGGAGAAGCCACTTTGGTGTCCTCCAGATGCCCCGCAAGACTGATGGTGTGATGGTGTGATTGTGAATGGTTGTAAGTTGCCCTGAGTAGTACATAGCAGAAATGTTTATGTATATAAAAAGCAAAAGCAAAATATTTGGAAGGCCGAATAGATCACCCCTGCCCGGTAGATCACACACTGACACTTCCAAAGAACTCCAAAGACTGGTGAGGCAGCTGTTCCCTTTTTTGGAGTAGGCTGACTTTTCCCTTAGCGTTGCTTGTTCTGCAATCTGCTTAACAATTTCCCCTTGAAGAGTGATTTCTACTGCACTGCCAGGAACATGGTCTGCCCTTTTCAGGAACTTTGGATTCTGTTGGCTGATTTCCTGTCTTCCAGGATGGAGGCTGTCTTTGGTGCTGTGGTGTCATTTTGCTAGATTATCAACA